CCTTCTGTCATCCCCAGCAGATATTTGCATGGAGGTCAATGCTGGACATCTGCGAAATTCCGGTCAACGATAAGAATCTCGAACACACGCGAATGCCATCACGAGGGTGGCTTGGTGGCTGCCTTGCCATGCTGACGATGCAGGTATGCATCTGCTGTGGAAGCTGTGCTGCCAATCGCAATCTGCACGAGTATATTGCATAGGGTGACGCAGAGTGCTGTCTGCCACTTGCATCATCGTAAGGTGTTCTGTTGACTTGACTCCCCAATGTCGCTTCCTGGTACGGTTCTTCCTTCATTACGATTTTTACCATTCAGAGTACACGGAGCATTCGATCTTTGGAGCTCATCGTTATATTGCGGCGGCAGAGATGACACCTCCAAAATATTGGGCCATCCTTGTCGGCATAAATCACTATCCGCAGAAGCCACTCAAGGGATGCGTCGCCGACGTAAACATGATACAACGATATCTAGAGTCCCATGCGTCAGGATCGAAGCCAGTCACTGTACTGCCATTTCAGACGGACCGGGATACGGAAGATGATGGTTCTGAGGCTGAAGATACATCTAGTACACCTTTGGTGTTAGGCGCTACAGATCATGACCCGGGACCCGCAGAGTTGGGCACTCACTTGCACCATCCCTCAACAAAATCTAAGCCGGCCACTCACTCCAATGTACTCGCTGGACTAGAAACTGTGCTGCACACGGCTACCAGCGGAGACGTTGTGTACATTCATTACTCCGGACATGGTACCACGATCAGCTTTCTCCGCGGTAAAAAGTACGGTGATCTCGCTTTAGTGCTTTACGATCCGGTCTCAGAAGCCAAGACAAAATTGCTACGAGGTCGCTTTCTAGCAGATTATCTCAAGAGGATGGTTGAGAAGGGTCTACATGTCACACTTGTTTTGGACTGTTGCTTCTCGGGAAGTGTTGTTCGTTCTGGTAGCTATCCCGCGACCGTTAGTCGATTCCTACCGTACAATCCCGTCGCCGACAAAAACGACGAAGACGACTTCCTCGAATCTCAAGACGAAGAGAAGATCTCATACGCCACTCATCGTGGTCTCAGCATCCTTCCGAGATGGGTGGTTGAGCCAGACGGCTACACTATCCTCACGGCATGCGCACCAGACGAAGTCGCTAAGGAAGTCGTTTTCAACGGAACACAACACCACGGAGCGTTGTCTTACTTCATGATGCAGGCACTTGCAGTGTTGAGGAAACGCTCGCATAGATCTCTGTACCACCAGGTTCGTGCCCAGTTCCTCGAGCATTGGCCGCAGCAAAACCCTATGCGTTTCGGCAATGTACGCGACGCATTCTTTGCAACATCTGTCTCTGATCAAACTTCGATTTTCGTCCCCGTATTCAGGCGCAACAGCGATCTTACCTTGTGTTTGGGAGCTGGTCTTGCACACGGAGTATGTTTAGGGGATATATATGCACTCTACCCGGCCGATGCGTCAGAAGACAAAGGCAGCTCGTCTGCAGAAGCATACACCACGGCGAAAGTAACGAGTTCCGGGACCGTCACATCCGATTTGCTAGAGGAGCCGTCCTCTCGCACTGTGGGTCAATCAAGAGGAGGGTGGAAAGGGAAAGCAGTCACTAGTTTCCAAACCCAAAAGCTAGCTGTGTATATCGAAGAAGGGCTTTTCGATCACAGTACTTGGGCCGAAACGATGAGTCAAACACGATTTTGCAGAGCCCTTCCCATCAAAGATCTTGCTGTGGATCAGCCCACTATCTTTGTCACCGAGAATGAATGCTCAGAGCTGGAAATCCGCGATAGTTCGGGTGCTATACACAAGGGGGTACCTCGGATCCCTCGAGGGACTGCACGTAAGCTTGATTGCGTGGCCCGCTTAGTAGATCACATAGCCACCTACCGAAATGTCCTGCGTATCGCAAACCGGAATCCACCAAGGTCTCTGTTGAACATTTTCGAAATCACTGTGCTGGACAAAGACGGACGCTCGTTATCGCCCGATTTTGTGGAGCTCGTTTGTGGGGATAAAATCACAATATGCATCTGCAACACCACGGACAAGCCACTTCACATAGGGTTATGTTACCTTGACGCCCAGTGGAGGGTCAGCAATATGTTTGTGAAAGACGGTAGTGGCGAGTTTATGAAAATCCCCCCCAACAGCGAAGAGCGACTCCCCATCTCAGCTTACATTCCGGTGGAACTGTTGGCCCGCGGACAGAGCTACTGCGACGATATTGTCAAGGTTTTTGTTACTGAGCGTCCAACATCCTTTGAGCCTCTGGAAATGGACCCGCTACCCGACACTATCGATTCACTAGACAGCCTTCCTACACGCGGTACTCAACTAGCATTGTCTCAGTTTCTGATGAAGCTGAGCGAGCCGCTTCGAGGATCTTCGCATGAGATTCTTGATGAGTTTTGGACTTGTCGCGACATCATCGTACGAACGCGTCAAAAACAGTTGCCCATCACGTAACCTTTCTCAAGTTACCATCTGCAACAAAGTCGCCGTTCCTTGCCTCATCACCGTTCCCGTCGCAGAGAGTACATGATGTCTGTCCGACATATTCGATGTAATAAGGGCCTTCGAGTAGTTCTGCGCCAGCAGCATCATGTCCGACAACGACGTAGACCTCGTCACCTACTCGGAACGAGCTCTCCTTTCACAGATGTCAGCGGAAATGATTGTCTCGTGTTTTCACAGAACTCACATTTTGACTTCTTGTGATCGTAGCGCGGTCATCTTCGCAGATCGTTATCTTCGCATTGACGCTACTGCCGAGTGTTAGAGAGTTCACGCATGACGGCTTGTGAATACAACTTGTTATTGTCTGCCATAATCTGCTTCCTTTTGTCGGTCGTCGCTAGTTGTAGAGCTAATTGTGACGTGGCAAAGACTGTGTCGCTCCTCTTAAGGTCTGATTCGCTATCGCAAGCGGAGACCCTACACCAAACGTCAGTATGTTATCCGCGGAACATTACTGTAGGAATGTGCATGTATAACAGTCCTTCTATGTTTACGTGTTTAGTATCCATTGGCTAACCTAGATGCAGCTTACATTGGTGGCGCAGCCTTGCAGCAAGAGAGGTCCTCCAACTCGCTTGGCTGGTCCTTGATTACAATGAAGATACTTTGGCCGGGAGCAGTGAGGCAGCCCTCTTCTGTCACGCCTGCAGTATACAGTGCGAGGCAGTTTTGCAAAGCCTTCTATCAAGAGAGGGCGCTCGGCTGTTTAGTGACGACTGTTGAACATGAGGCATAAATACCCGCCCTTCTGTCAACTGCGGTTCCGACATTCTCACATGACGTTATTCACAATGTATGATATCAATGGCTTGCGTCGACTTCCGAACCTGGTCTTTGGATGGACCGGTCAGCAGTTTGGGAAGGTCGATAAGATCACCAAGTCAGGTAATACGTTACACCAAAGTGGCATGCCGCAGAATTCTGACCACTAGCAGTTGAGAGTTATCGACTTGGTTATCCCCGCTTCTCAGCACTTATCGCCGCACATGAGAGTCTCCATGTCGCACGCCGGTTTACGGTGCTTCGGACTAGACTGCTTCTTCAAAAACAGAACAGACTCGCGGAACTGGAGGCAAAGCTTAATCAGGTCGACGGAGAAGAACGGAGACCATTGTTTCTCGGCAGCTATCGAATGGATAAGAACAGCGAGCGAAAGCAAATCATGTCAGACATTGACATAGCAATGTCCGATTATGGTCTGTCAATTAGATCTTCCATCGAGAGCCGAGGGAAGCCTCCCGCTAACCTTTACCAGACAGCTTTGTGGAACGAAACTTTCACAACCATCAAATTCAAGCGGCCCGAGAGCGAGACATACGAAGCTTACAGAATTGGGTCAAAGGAAGCGCATGCATAGCTCGTCAGGATACCGAGTACCTTGAACATATCGATGACTTGATGGGCCTAGGAGGCTCACATGATGATGCATTGATCCAGATCCGAACAGGGATTGAGAGTTTCCTCATCAGGTTTTGCCGGAAATCATACAAGGTAACATCTTTGTTTGCTACTTAAATCAGTTATAGAAATTGGCTAAACAAACTTCAGAAGCTGTGTATGGATGTCTCCGGAGATCAAGAGGTCTTCATTCCTCCAAAATCTCTGCTGAATCAATGGGTGCGGGCAGTATTAGTGCTGATTATCTTACTGTTCCTCCTAGTTCCGGTCATTGCATGCTATTGCTCGCGTAACATGTTGTTACGCCTGGTGGTAGTGATTGTTTCAGTCACTCTTTTCGTTGGCACACTATCTACCTTGACTAAGGCCAGAATGGTTGAAGTTTTCGTCGCCAGCGCAGCGTAAGTACATTCTCAACAGCACACTCTAGTACTACCGGCTCTCTGGTACCAGTTATCACTAACTGATCATGAAGCTATACGACAGTGTTGACGGTTTTCGTCACTACTGCGGGCAGTGCAACGTAACGTCCTTAAGACCTAATGCAACAAAAGACACTCCGGAACAAAATCTTGAATGATTATATGACTTGCATTATATCTTCCGTGTTCACTTGTCTTCCTAGATCATCGTCTTCAAGACGTTCGGACCCGCATCGTGGACACCGAGCCGCTACAGCACACCCATATATCCGGTGTATCTGATTTGCCACTTTTGCACTGTTAGACGGTGAGTATCGAGTGTGTCACACAGCGCATTGCCGCTGCACTATGTTCAGCAGCCAATGGTGAACAGAGATCAGGCGAGAACGCGCAACACTTACCATTTCCGGCGTGTGCTCACTTGCATGTCAACTAACTATATCCCGCCTCCTGCCTAAATTACATGCACATATCCGAATTCATTTCACCGGCGCGCTCTCTCGTGCCTAGATCAAGATGCCTGTTCCCGGCCCTTTTATGGGGTCTTTAGCGTCGCCTCACTCGACGACTATCATCTCGAACGAGCCCTCCTGGTTTCACATAATTCCCTCGCAAACATTTCCTAGAATCAGGGATTCCGTCACAACTTCATCATGTACCCGTTTCAACTCAAGCCTGAAGCTGTCAACACGATCGAGCCAATGGGGTTGGAGAAATTGATGGCCCTTGTCGCCTCACAAACCATTTTTAATTCGATAAACATCGAGCCTTACATCTACATTTGCATGCGCATCTTCGATCACTATGGGGCGTCCCGCTTTTTGCAGGAAGGTCTCGAAAGGGCAGAGGAATGGGTAACAATGACGAGTATTGACAACGAGGATCGTACCCGCCGTTTTGAGATCATGAGCCTACTGTCTGCCAAGCTTCATCAGCGAAGATACCTGTTAGAGGATGTACCGTTGCTGAACGAAGGCCATCCAGACCCGTAAGTGCGAGTTATGGTTGGAATTGAACATCTCGTGGGCACCACCCAGGCACACAAGCCAGAGTGACCAAAGAGCTTGCGTGAACGGTGTACGCTAACGGGAGTTTATTAGGGCGACACACGAAGACAGTCAAAGAGAGGCGCACGCCCTACTGGTCAAATCTACTACGCTGCTACGAGACTATCAAAGCCACGGCCATAACGAAAGTTTGGAGCAGGCTATCTTGGATGGGAGGCGATCCATCAGCCTGACTCCGATCAGTCACCAGTACCTGCACTCCACCATCAGCAACGTCGGTGTGATGTATGGCCGCAGGTATGAGAAGCATGGAGATGTCACCGATATCGACCAGGCAGTGAAGATGGCAGACTTGGCTTTGATGGTTTTACCAGCTACAGAGAACGGGTCTCGGCTATCTCGACTCATCAACCTTGGTAGCTGGCTAGGCCGACGATTCATCGCACGAAGTGAGCTACAAGACCTTACAAGAGCGATCAACATAATGGAAGAGGCTTTGAAATTGGCCTCACACGGGCCCGAAGAGGCCTCCGTATCGGCGAATCTAGGCAATCTGCTGCAAGATAGATACGTTCAATCAGGCGCGGTAGAGGACTTCAATCGAGCCGTTGATATGGCTGAAAGTGCAGTCATTGCAATGCACAGTGGGGAGAGCAAGCACTTTACACTACAAGATGTCCAGGTTGGACTCATGCTGCGAGTGAAAAACCGCTACAGGACGTTTGGTATCTTGAAAGACCTCGATCGTGCCATCGAACTTGGAGAGGACATCGTTTCGAGTACTCCAAACGAACACATGCGTTACAACACGCGCTTGAGTGAGCTCTCATCCATTTACACTCTTCGATACGAAAAGAGAAGGAACGTGGAGGACCTGCGCCGAGCCTTCGAACTACACGAGACCACGGCCGACCTCCCTACTTTTGGCGATAGGCCATATGCCAGCATGTACAAGGCACGCCGGGCAGACTTGCTGAGTCTCCGCTTTTGTCATCCTGGAGGGCCATCTGATCGGAATGATATTGACCAAGCCGTATCTCTGGCTGAGGAAGTTCCTCCGATGATCAATGGAAAGGACCTCGAGTACCGCAATGCTCTCATCAACTTAGGAACCATATGCGCTATCCGACACGACAAGTATGGTGAAGTAGCGGATCTGAGCAGAGCGATTGAAGTCTGTGAGATCGCTGCATCGTTGATGCCAGAAGATGCAGTCGAACGATGCGGTGTTTACTTCAACTTGGGCAAATGGTATTCGGAACGCTATCAGGCGTACCAGAACGACCGTGACTTGCAGAAAGCGCTCGCAGCGTACCAGGATGGATTAGCGAGCAAGAACAGCCAGCCGCGATGGCGGTTACATGCTTCACGCCGCGTGGCCGACATACTATTCGAGCGATCTGAATGGTCTGAAGCTTACGACGTCTTGAAAGAAGCTGTTCAGACTATGTCGCTTGTCAGTCCGCGGTTTCTTGAGAACACTGATAAACAAGACCAGCTCGGAGAGTTTGAAGGTTTAGCGTCTATGGCTGCAGTTGCTGCCCTGAATGCAGGCCAGACACCACATCACGCTTTGGAACTCCTGGAAATGGGTCGGGGCATCATATCGGGGCTCCTTTTTGGTACGAGATCTGGTGTTACCGACCTCGGCATAGCCGATGAGAAGCTGGCTAGTGAGTTTGAGTTTTACAAGGACCTTCTGGACCCGCCGCCAAGCGCTCTCTCCATCACTTCTGCGGATCACGGGAATGCTGCTGCTGCGCCGGATCGCTTGAGACGACATCAAGAGAACAGCGAAAGACTGGACTCAATCATAGCGGCCATACGGAACATACCTGGACAAGAAAGGTTCCTCTTACCACCCTCGGAATCCGAGATCATGGCGGCAGCCGTGAGAGGCCCGATCGTGATCATCAACGTCAACGAATATCGTTGCGACGCTTTCATTGTCGAGACTCATCGAATACGTTTGGAGAGCCTTCCTCTACTGATCGCGGGCGAGATCCAAACCCGATTCCTAGAGCAAGGTCTCAAGACGACATCATTAGAAGCACTGAAGTGGCTCTGGGATGTCGCGGCACGACCTGTTCTGACAACCCTCGAATACCAGAATATCTCAGTAGAAACTGCTTGGCCTCAGATGTGGTGGATTTGCACCGGTGTACTAAGTCACATCCCAATGCATGCGGCGGGCGACCACCGAAAGGGAAGCGGAGATGCCGTTCTGGATAGAGTCATGTCATCGTATGCATCGAGTATCAAAGCTCTGATACATATGCGCAAGCGAGATGCATTCGGGACTACGTCATCTCAACCAGCGCATGCGGTCCTGGTATCTATGCGGCAGACACCTGGTTATGATGAAGTACTGAGATATGCGGCAGAAGAAATTGCCGTCGCAGCGGCATCGTGCCGTGCCCTTGGGTTGAGGGTGATGGAACCAGAGAAGACCAAGGATGCAGTAATCAATGTATTACCCAGCTGCAGGATATTTCACTTCGCAGGTCATGGGAAGTCTAACTCAACCGACCCTGCCCAAAGCAGGCTACTGCTGAACGACTGGAAGACCAGTCCTCTGACGGTGTCAAGCCTACGCGACCACCAATTACAGCAGGGGTCTTCTTTCTTGGGGTATCTTTCTGCCTGTGACACGGGTAGGATCGAAGCTGAGAATCTTGTTGATGAGGGTATACATCTCGTGACCGCTCTACAACTAGCGGGCTTTAAACACGTTATCGGCACTCTTTGGGAAGTGTCTGACAAGTATAGTGTGGATGTTACGAAGCACCTGTACGCAACACTCGAGGAAGAAGGTCTAAACGACATTGCCGTATGCCGGGGCTTGCATCGCGCGCTCAGGGCGATTCGTGACGCTGAACTAAAGCTTTTGCGCGATGCATCGACATCAGAAAAGCTTTCACCACATAGTGCTGAAGATGCGACCATAACTGGAGCTAGTAGTATGAATGCAACGAGGCTTTACAACTGTCCAGGATCGCAAGCCGCAGAAAGCACAGTGCAGACGTATCAAGGGCCGCCGGCATCTGCCGCAAATGACTTTGCAGCCAGCGGCGAAAGAGCTCTGGATTTTGATGGTAGCCGGTTCAGACTCAAAGAAAGAAGAGTGGCACCTGCCTGGGCACCATACGTTCATTTTGGAGTATAGTAGGACCTGATATACAGTGCTATCATTTGACGTGTCGGCCTTCGATCTGACCCCCAGGTCTCGAGCTTCATCCACGGATGCAGTCTTTCCAGTTCGACCAAATTTAGCTGTACATTGTTTAACTGGACCACAATATCTAGATTCAATTTACTATAAAATAGAATTTTTCGTCTGCTGTATCTTGCCCGTGTTTCTTCCCGCCCCTTCTCGTCCAGTGCTCGACCTTAAGGAATACTACCGCACTCTACCCCTCTGGAGCCACATCCGTATGCACAGAATCAATTCCCTGCTTGTTGCAACTCCGTCCCGCGATCAAACGCACACCGTGATGCCCTTAGGTTGACCATTCCATCTGCACTCCTGGTTCTTGCCTCTGCTGCGCGGCGCCCATGGCAATTGATGGAGCGTGTTGATTTAGATGTTGTTGCTGAGCCTGTTGCTGAGCCTGTTGTTGCACTTGTTGCTGCCATTGCTGCTGCGTTGAATGCTGACCCTGCTGCTGCACCGATCGCTCGGTTCGTTGTCGCTTCTCAGGCACTTGTCGAAAGAATGTAGGCTGTCCAGGTACGGTGAGGTCAATGGTATCGGCGACTGGCTGGGTTCCTTGCCGAGCATTAGACACTGCATTCCCTGCAAGCACCAGAGCGTGCTGCATGTGCATGGCCTGTTGGAACGCTACCGGAGTGGGTGGTGTATTCGGTGGTCGGGTGTCATGCGTCGGCCTGGGATGTGTCAGATTCGTCGCGGGTGGTGATGGATACGCTGACTGTGGTGCCGGTGCTCGAGCAGGCTGTCCGCTTTCTGCGTCTTGAAGTAGGTGCTAGTCCGATTCATTAGTTTACGATCATAAACAGACATGATGGAGATGACATGTTAGGTACTCACGGGGAATACGTCGTCCTTAACAACCCTCTTGAGAGAGGCCTCTATGTTTTGTAAGTGCCCACCCCATCGCTCATTCAGCACCCCAGCATTATACGCCATCTCGTGGTTTACCTCGTCCCGGTGGTTTCGAATCGTCGTGTGGAGGGAGGCAGCAAGGGATTCCCTTGCTGCAGCAAACTGCTCGTGGGTAACACACTTGGCGGTCATTTCTGGATGATCGTTGCGGATCTTGGTGTAGTTCTCTTCCAATACGCAGATCCTATTGTCAAGTTTGCGAGATGCAGCGGTACCGCGGGGCTTTTCCAATGCGACAAGTCGCTCTTTGCAATTCACCAATGAGGCAAGTTCATTCTTCATCTGTAAGTAGGTTGCGTCAACCTTGTTCCGAAGATCGTCGAGAGCCGCGGTAGCTGTCGTGGCAGTCGGAGGGGTCGATGTCGGCGTTCGAACGGAGAGGAGAGCGACTTCCGACACGCCCAGGCGGGCATCTAGGGAATCGAGTCTGGTAACTAGGGCCTGAGAAGCTTGCAGTGCCGCATCATGTGATTCCACCGCATTCTCAAGCTCTTCGACGCGGTGGTTCATGCCTTCCAGAAACTGTGGCTCTTCTATCGCATTTTCGAGCTCGTCGATACGCTGGGAGTTACGGTCCAGAACCAGAGCTGTTTTTTCGAACGCTTCCGTATGCTCGCGGGATTGTGCTTGCACGGTATCAATAGCGGTGGAGAAGTGATCTGTCGTAGTGGCGAGCTTTTCCGCCGTCTCGGTTCTGAGGAGTTCTAGACCTTTGATCCAGGCGGTTTTGTTGTGACGCAAGCCTTCTTGGGTATGAACCACTGCTGTCTCGAAGCGATCTTCCATGTCGTTTCTCAGTTCGACAATGCTCTGACTGTAAGTATTGCCAGACCGTTCCAGCGACTTGATCCGCTGCATGGATTCTGACACAAGTCGATCTGTCCTTTGGAAATTTGCGGCAGTGATAGTCTTCTGGGCACAGAACTGGTTGGAGATCTCATGTGACTTTTGATCAATTCGGGTGATCGACTGTTGTGAATCCTTGATCGTAGTCTCTAGTCGCTGATTTCGATCCCTCTCAGCATCCAGTTCGTTTCGCAGCTGCTGATTCTGCGCCTTCTGAGCATCAATATCGCCTTTCAGTCCTTGGTTATCCGCTTCGGACTTTGTCTTAACGTCTTCGACAAGCTGTTTGAGATGCGTCATTTGCGCTTCCATGCCGTCCACCCGGCCGTTCAGTAACTTGACTTTGTCATAAACAAATTTGAAACATTTCCTCAAGTGCCCGGTGACATGTTCAGTGTCCATCCATGGATAGACGGTGGAAGCAGGTTTGCTCCGAGCCTGCTCCATGATGTCGACTTTCATCATCGTAGGGTCCACGGTCCTCGAAAGTTGCTTCCTGTAAAGATTGACGCTTCTCTGTAACAATAATGCGAGCTTCCGCTTGCTGAATGCCGAGGTGTCTGAGACAACTGGTTGGAGAGATGCGAAATTTTCCCTAGTCACGCGTAGATCACAGTAAGAAGCCGTATCTTTACGGAAGAAGACGTAATGCATAGGGCCATGGTCGACCCTCTCCATGGTAGCGATTCCCCGCTCTCCCGTACATGTATCAAACGTACCATGGAATGGATCCCTGCTTCCAAGCTAGAGCGTCCAATCATACAATGCAATGTCTATCGTTGCCACCCAGGTTGGAACGCTGGAAACGACAACTCGACTCCTACTGCTCACCGCCACAAGCGAGCTGCAAAAGGGCGTTCGACATCTCCAAAATAGGCACCGATGGCGAGAGCACTACAGCCGCAGCCACCATACCAAGAGGTATATGGTTGGAGAGCGAGCAAACTGTGACGTATCGGGCTGGAACTTTGCAGCCTGGTGGCGCTATCTGGGACTGTTTGCTTCATGACGGCGAAAATCTGCTCGCCAACACAGAAGAAGGGCCTCAGAAACAAACGCGAGGTCGGGGAGGTCGTTCTCGTTTCCGTCCAGCCAATCGCAAAATGCAGATGGAAGGTATGGACGCTGTTTTCTTCCCGGTGGGGTCATGGGTAGAGACACCGCTAGGCTGTACAGCTGCAGGCGCGTATGGTTCCGAAAAGATAGGAAACTTGCTTTGACAGCCTGTCAACGTGGCCCCGTTGTAGCTAGGGCGTTCTTGGTGTTGCACGAAAGAGAAGATGGACGCGATAAAGATGGAGGCGAGGCGAGCACACGGCGGTCCGATGCGGCGCTACTGGCACGCTAAGAAGAGCTAGCTTCGGCAGTCAATTCCAGATGTCGCGTGCATCTCCCCCGCCATTATCATGCCCCAACATGCTTTGCATTCAGCCTGCTACATGTATGCTTGACTGTACGGCCTTGCTGTGGCGATTTCAATGTCCTCGCTTTCCCTTGCTTGCCAGCCCCCAGCCGTGCCGCCGTGGCGTTTCTGCGCCATGTCGCCTGGCTTGCCGCTGCCTCGTCGGCTCAGGACGCCTGCCAATACCGTGCGCGAAAACTGCTGGGCCATTACATGAATACGATGTGTCTCATTCATACATGCGCCGGCGATCTTCTCCAAGACTGTCTAGTGAGTTCCCGTTATCGTTATGGCGCGATCTGAGCTTCCCGCTGCTGTCTGCGTATCGTCAGAGCGCCTTCTCGTCCAGGAAGCACCCTAGAAAGAGGGGAAGCTCGCATCTGCGGGAGTGTACCCGACTATAAGTAGGTGTGTTATACACACTGGATCTAATGCTCGCAGAAAACAGTACATGCATACCCGGATATTCGGCAGGTCCATCATCGCAAATCATTCAGTCTCCAAAATCATTACCCGGGTTGAAATATTAGTCTTAGAACATATATGCAAGACCACCCAGTTCAAGCAAGTGACTGAATCTCCTAGAGTCTACGTTGACGTTGGCTCGCATACTTTGCATCTTCACATGTTCATGTCGGCTCCAGGGTGTTCAGTTTTTCCTGGAACAAGGTAACACAACGGACTTCTGCATCGAAAGATGCTACGCTTAGACGGCTACGGACTGAAAAGTTCTTGTCTTAGAGCTATGTCGCAACAGCTCTCAATGTGGTACGGCAGGACTCAATGTGTCTATTGAATCTGCTCACAGATAACCTTGCGAACCGGGAGTGAAGACCTCGCGGAGCCTATGATAGCTCAGGCGGTATCTTGCAAGACATGTTGGACCGATGTTGAACTCACCCGTCATGTTTGGGAGACATACTAGTCGCAGCTACGTCATGAGTCTCAGCCATGCAGTTGAGTAATGACTGGCGAACAATCCGCCTTCACTGCTTGAGCGAGCGACAGTCGTGACTAGGACAAAACAGCACGTAGGGGTTTCATTCTCACGTGCAAATGTCAACAATGGTATGCGGCCCGCTTCCTGAAAGCGGTATACGTGCTGGACGCTGATGCCTGCCGACCTGGCTTCTAGAAGGCGCAGCGTTGGCTTTTTCGGAAACTGCCGTAGCTTTGATTACTATGCGATGCAAACGCAAACCATATACCGAGACGGGAACCTACCCAGAAGACTGAGCATTCCTCGTCGGATTAATATGGTGGCTGTTGCTTGTTGCAAGTTGTATCCTGTCAGCGTCCGTGGCTCTTTTCGCGTTTGATGAATTTCTTGTCTTCCCCAACAGATACTGTCTACGAATGATACTTGCTCCACAGACTAAGTGTATTGGGAATCATGCCATTGAGGATTCATAGTGCTCATGGATTCACCGACGCTTGCCCATGACCGGCCGTAGTCTCCGACATTGGCCGCTCGTACGAGTCCATTGCTGTGCAAACAGGCGATCTCAGGTCAACCGAGAATTCGGTCTTTGGATTCACACGCATTACCATGCTAGGAACTTCGTAGTCCCCAAAGATTCTCCATGGGGGTGGGACTTTGGGCTCAAACTCGCGCAACTAAAGGCATAGCAACGATGAACAACGATCATAGTCGGTGGCGGGCTTACTACCCTCCTTCGAGTCTGTCTCGATGCCCATCATTACCAAGTGAGATTGGAGATGGCACTCCTGCATACTTCCGCGTCATTCCCATTCGCTTTATGTGCATCGCGTACACGAGGTCTACCGACGTTGTCATCCCACTTTTCAGCCTCACTAATGTGCTTGAGGGAGGGCTTCCGCAAAACATGTATCGCGGAGCTTTTCTATCCACTGTTGTACGGCAAGATCACCTAAACAAGCTACAGCTGTTTCCTAGCTTTCGAATTTCGCATCAATAGCAGGTCTCCATAGCATGACGTTTCAGGCTAGAGAGTGCTGCGCGGCTCTGCTCGGACCCCGGCCTCCTCTTACCCCAGAGACCCGCCAATCAGGACCCATCAACACGACAAGTACCCTTGAAAGCTTGTCGCGGGGCCCCGTGGGCTCAAGTGGGTTCAAGTGGATTGATGATAGCAGAGTGTGCCCACGCCGAGGTCGAATCTAGAGTGTATAGAGTATATAAGCTCTCCAAGCTCACCATGTCTGCTTGGCCTTGGGCATCGGCTTTTGCTTATTCGTTCTTCGCTCTTCGTGGCGTCCAATCAGCTTACACGCTAACTCGAAATGGCGGGCTTTGCCGAACCCAAGCGAGATGGTACCCCTGCGGTCGACGATGGAGTCCTGGAGAAGAGCCTCAGTCGTCAGGCCGAGATCTTCGAGGACAAGGAGCTCATGACGGATGCTCAGGCAGCTGAAAGCCGTGAGCATGATATGGGAATGTGGGAGGCCATGAGGGACCACCCCATGGCTTGCTTTTGGGCTTTCATCTTCTGCTTTACTATCGTAAGTCTTTGACCCCTGCTAGCATCTCCAAGAAGATGTCGCTGACACCGACTAGGTCATGGAGTCTTTCGACATGTTCTTGAACGGTAACTTCGTTGCTCTTGCTGCGTTCAAAGAACGATATGGTGTTCAAGTCGCTGGCGAAGTCGGCAAGACCATTCCCACCAAATGGCAGAGTTCACTCTTCCAAGCCGGCCAATGCGGTGCCTTCATTGGAGTCTTTCTCGCTGGCCCAATCACCAACCGTCTTGGTTACCGCTGGACTACTTTACTGGCACTCATGCTGATGAATGCGACCATCTTCATCTCTTTCTTCGTAAGTATTCCATCCCTGATCTGGATTCAGACTAACAATACTCAGGCCGATTCGCTCGCAGTGCTCGTCATTGGGCAAGCTTTCGAAGGTATCCCATGGGGTATGTTCATCGCCAACTCGCCGGCCTACGCCAGTGAGGTCGTCCCTCTGGTTCTTCGTGGTGCCTGTACGGCTACACTTCAAATGTCGTGGTCTATCGGAAGCATCATTGTCGCTGCTGCGACCTACAGCTACAACAAGCGAAACGACGAGTGGGCGTGGAGAGGTCCTCTGGCCTTACAGTGGGTGTTTCCTGTAAGTACCTTCTTCGTCCGTCTCCTCACGATAGCTGACATCCCTAGACCCCTCTTATGGTTCTCATCTTCTTCGCACCCGAATCGCCATGGTGGCTAGTGCGCAGAGGGCGCAAGGAACAGGCGCTGAAGTCCATCAAGCGCCTTGGTCGTAGAAACGGAACCCAGGCGGCTGCCGAAGACACGCTGGCCATGATGGAGCGCACAGTGCAGATCGAAGCTCACAAGGGCGGCGAGCCTTCTCTCCTTGATCTCGTTAAGGGAGTCGATCTCCGCCGAACACTAATTACCTGCTTGATCTACGCATCTCAGAACTTCGCTGGCAACCTGATCGCCAATCAAGCAACGTTCTTCTTCGAGCGTAAGTCAAGAATCATCAGAGCTCTTAGAGATGCAACGCTGACTATTCGCAGAGGCTGGAATGTCCTCTGACTTCTCTTTCAAGCTGAACTTGATCAACTCGTGCCTGCAGCTGGTAGCCAACATCTGCGCGTGGCCTCTCAGCAACTTTTTCGGCCGCCGCACAATCTATCTCGGGGGCACCGCCATCAACATCTGCCTGCTCTTCGTTCTCGGGATCTGCGCTTCCATCCCCCAGAGCAGCGCGACCAACTACGCCCAAGCTTGCCTGGGTATCGTCATTTCGTTCGTCTTCGCAGGAGCCATGGGTCCGATCTCATATTCCATCATCGCCGAAACGTCCTCCGTCCGTCTCCGCGCGCTAAGCACCGGTGTTGGCCGAGCCGCATACTACGTCGCCGAGATCCCTATGATCTACCTAGCCTCGCAGATGCTCAATCCCACGGGCTGGAACATGGCTGGTAAGTGTGGATACGTGTGGGGCGGTACAGCTTGCGTCTGCTTCATCAGCGCATACTTCGGCCTCCCTGAGCTCAAGGGCCGCTCATACCGTGAGCTTGACATTCTGTTCAACCGGAAGATCTCCGCACGC